GCAGGCTGTGAGAAAGCAGCAGAGAGAGAAAATTTCACAAGTCTTCGTCGGCGTCGTCACAAGACTTCGTCAGCAGTCTTTTGGGGGCTGCTGATGGCCCACAAATGAACCTTTTCCAGTGTGCTCTGAAGAAGTTGCCACTCTCAACACCGTAAATGTGTACTCACTGATAGTAGATACTGCATTTAAACAACATTTGAAGTTGTTATCATATATTGTAATGTAAGAAGTGAGGGCTTCTCAGACCTCTTCCAGGGGTCACCTGCCCTCTCCTGCAAGTCTTCCTAGATGGCTTCAAGGCGAGAGGAGGAATGTTAGGCGGTATTTTTCACAGGCGTTAGGTGACAGATGAATTATCTATCGTGTGGTCCCATTTCAGTGCCCGCTCAGGACTTTTCCCTGTGGGCATATGCTGCGTTTTACTACGGCTCCTCTGCAAGGATCTCAAAGGCAAAAGGAAAGGCCGGGCCTCAGTATATGGTGGAAGTCAACGGGCATAAACCAGAGCGGTGGAAGAGGTAACGTATGGGGATGTGCAGATGAAGACTGCTTTTGTCTTCCTGCAATGAGAAAGAGCCACCCAGATTTATTTCATGTTGCCCACGTGTCTTTCGGGGGCATTTAGGCCCCCAGAAGGACCACCCTGGGCGGATAAAACACCTGCAGAGCGGGCCGTGATGGGACGAGGGTGGGTTATGGGGGAGAGGACTCCAGCAGGTGTCACTCGCACTCAGCAGAGAGCATCTGCTGGAAAGATGCTCTCCATTAGCCTGACCTCTAGAGGTTTTAAATCGTATCATTCAGGTTCGTAAAATAGTGTTAGGTTTTGTTGTCGTTCAGTGTGCTGAATCTGGAAAGCAAACTGATACAGCGGTAAACAGGGAGCAGCCATCCACCGCTGTTTCTGACAGGTCAGCCAGGATCCCGGATTTCCTAGATATTAAATCTCCATCCCACAGAGGACTGTTAGAACGGATCAGAGATGATGAAGACTAAATTAAGGACGCTGAAGGGGGCCCACAGGGCTCCTACATAAACACTGAACTACTAATCTCTGCAGCTTTTACTTCTCTTAGGTCACAGGGTCTTATTCCACATGCTTCCCTCCTGCCACTGCAGGCTTCTTGCATTATAATCTGTAGGGTTTGTGTTACCTGGTATTAAATGAGTTGAGGCATGGGACCTCTGTTGTCTCAAGAGATAACGGTACTCTCTAATGCATCTTACTCAGAGGCTGGTCTACACGTCTAGCTTCAGCCTCTATTTTACTGAAATTAATTTATTTACATTGAATAGTGCTCTCCCATAACATAAAAAGAAGAAGGAATAGGTTACTGCCTGTTTTTTTCTTTTACTTATTAACAGAAAGTAGGATTAGGAAAGTATAGTGTGCCTGATCACTTGAAGAAAGGGTTCCAAATTTATTCCCTGTTAAATGAGTTAAAAATCCTCTTATTAAATTAGCCTTTATTTTATTATTGGACTTTACCGGTAACTGTCTTTTTAGTGCTGAAGTGTCCCCTGATGAACTACTATGTGGCCTTTTTACAGTACTTGCATAAAAGCATGCTTCAAACTTGCTTCCCTCATTCTTGCGAGGCAACCTATTGTTTTAAGTAGGATTACTCATGCAAGGCAGATTAATTCACCTACAGGAGAAAAAGCCGATGGCGGGTGCCTCATTTTAAGGAGTTCCCTGCAGAGCAGAAGAGCACATAGAGCTGCTCAAACTACTTATAGCAAGATCTGGGGAAATTTGGTTTGTTAGGGTAGGAATGGAAGTCCATAACAAGGATACATCTCCAATGCAATTAGGGACAGCAGTGACCTAGACCTTGGCCTGAACTGCCCGCTCTGGTAGACTGAGGGAGGAGCAGTGCTGTTGCCTTTATGCCATCTTAATCCTGAACCAAGGAGGAAGAGTTAAATGTTTTTTAACCAGTCTGTCTCCCCCCCAGATGTGGGGGAGGTTTTGCAGCACACGTTTCCTCCCTTTGACCCGTGGTGCTGGCCAAAATTCAGGGTCTTGTTGGTTGATCCAGATTGGAGGAGGAGTGATGAAGAAGGGTATTTCTGATGTATTTCTGATGGCTTACAAGAGTGCTCGCAGCCCTCCTCTCCTGAACACAGAAGAAATCACGCAGTTGACAGCCAGTTTCCTTGCTTGTAGCTCCAGACCTGCTCCAGGCAGCAATGTGACCCCAAATCCCTGTTTCTTGTATTCAGTCCAGGTTTTATATCAATGATTGTTCAGGCTGTTTGAAGTTTCCGTTCCCTGCCTGTTTCAATATACTGTCTTTCTGTCTCCTCCTCCACCTGAACTGTATTGTCCATCCACACATAACCTTCTTTCCTTTTAATATCCTACCCGAAACTGTCCTCCCAGAGCCTTCAGGTACTTGAGCAATCTTGCATTGTGGGTGGAAATAGACTTAATGTCTCCTTCAGCTACCCTAAATAAAGGAATGCAGTTAAACCTACCAGTTTCAGGAAGGTTTAGCCCAACCTATAAGAATAAAAGCCTAATGGAGTGTTGCCCTGAGGTTTTCATCTTACTGAAGACCCCTCTAGAAAATGCTGTGAAGTTTATAAGTAATGGCATGGAAATAATAGGGAGTACAGAATTCAGAAAACCCAGACTATTTTGCGAAGGATGTCAATAGATACGAAAGAGGTTTCCTTTTTCTGGTAGCAACCGTAACATAATATTTCAGCTTTCAGACCAAAGATTCAGTTGTGGCCTGAAAAGTTAAGTAACACTCTTCATTGAAGTTGCTGAAAAGGAGAAGTAAAAAGCACAACACAACCTCCCTCAGACGGTAAGATCTTAGAGGCTGGGATCATTTTTTCATTCTCTGTGCCACCCTTTGAAAACTCGGGGTCTCACCTGGGCCTGGTGGTCAGTGATGCTGCAGTAATATGCGGACAGTGTCCATAGGTGTGTAAAGTAGCACAGAGCGGCCCTCAAGAAGGCCAAGAGACGAGGATTTACCAAACTGCACCCACTGAAACTGATGACAAAGCACCCAGTGCTTTTAATAAAGGATCAAACCTACGCAAGTGGACAGATGAGGTTCTGAAACATGCGGTTTGGCATAGGATGCTTCTTGGCTCCTAAACACTTATTTCGATCTGATGTCTTCCCACCAGCACAGGTTAAGTGGCTGCAGCCATCGAGGAGAAAGAGAAATCATGGGCTACCAGCACTTCCAGAAGCTCAGTGGAGAGACGCATGTTTTATCAACCAGTCATTTGGAGAAAAGTTATGGTCCCAGGTAGCTTGATCCAATCTGTTATTTTTTAATTGTATGAACAGTTTGATGTGGTGAGAGCAGTGCAGCTGCTCAGCATAGGTCTCAACCTCATTCCTCTAAAAATGTGCTTGCAGTGGAAACCAGACTCCCGAGTTCAATAGGATGAGGAGGGGATGTGGAGTCTGGAATCTCTTCCATGGCCACATTTCCTCAGGAAATGGTGAATTGCCTTGAATATATAATAATACCTAGGGATTGACCCAGCAAAAGCAGTTGAGAGAATTAACCTATGATTGTAAGCGGATTGCTTGCTCTGTGTTATTCCAGAGCCATTTTCCTTGGTCAACCTCAAAACACTTTACAAAGGAGATCGCTTACCAATGATTAGTAGTTTAGCATGTACATAGTTCTCTTCTCCTTCACAGCACTTGAGTATCGATGCGTCTTCATGCTCCTCTGACAAAATGTGTAAGTTAATGTTATGATTATCTTTTCAAGTGGAGAAATTTTAGCCCAGTTTAGGACTGGGGAGGGGGAATTCCTCCCTCCTCCTTTTGTCCCATCCTGCTGGCCTTTGCTCGTACCTAGTGTCAGTTGCAAAAGTACCTTATTTTGTAGGTCTTTGATCAGCCTGCTGGTTAGCTAAATATATACCTGTGGGGAGATAATTACATGCTATCAGTCGTAAAGTGTAGTAAAATAATTTACGTTAATTAAAACACTTGCAAAACCAAAGCAGGAGTTTTCACGAAGATAAGTCTGCTGCAGCGACAGCTGTACCTGAAACTGCCAGCTTCCCATAGACAAACAGGAAAATAAAACCAGGGACCAGTAAAAAACAGTTTCTTCATGCTCAAAAGAGGAAAGACATGTACCCACTGGGAAAGCCATGGTGGTATCAATCCAGAAGGGCAGGGCTGAACACACCTTCCATCTGTGCAAGCAGATCTGTATTCATGAGCATGGGGAAGATTGGTGTGATGAATCCCATCTTACCAAGGTGTCTGTTTGGCTAAGTGTGAGTGGCCCAGCGGGAGGGTTGTACAGATGGGCCTCATATTATTGGGGGAGGTTTTGGAGACTAATTAAATAGTGTGACAGAGGCTTAAAAAATCACCTTGTTACCATCTTTGAATCCACTGTCAGTTCCTTCAGCACAATCCTTGTACTTTTCCTCTCCTCCCACATTTACGTCTGATGAAAATACTCAGCGCTTGCATGATGTTGCGTGGAAGTTGTCTGCCTGACCTTCCCAGCTGAAGAAGTCGATGGCTATTCTCCCTCTGCTGGCTTGTCTCTTGGAAGAAGCTCAGTTGCTGACGTGGGTCTAATTCAGACCAAAGGCACTGGTGGGTTTGGGACGTTATCGCTTCCACGGCCCTGTGGTGCCCATTGGTGTTGCCTCCTGCAGATCTCAGACCGCAGCCAGTCTCCAGCAACCCGGCGCATCTCCCCACTGAGCGCTTCTGGAAGGGCTTGTATCCCAGGGTTTCTCTTTCTTCCTGATGGCTGCAGTCACTTAACCTGTGATAGCGAGAAGACATCAGCCTGAAGTAAATGCTTAGGAGCCGAGAAGCATGACTGTTTCATTTAGACCTCATTCTTATTTATTTTACTGGTGGCTGGGCTAAGCGTCTTCTTAGAAGACACAAAGGAATCAGGAGGTTTGTAGGGCTGCAATGGGAGATCCGCAGCTCAGCCCCCACCAGCAAATTATCTCTCACTACAGGTGTAGCCCAGGCCTTCCCGTTTGGTACTTGCACATCCAGAGAGTTAGACCATGCCTCTTTCTCCAACCAATAGATGCAGTCACCGGTACCGGATTCACGGCTGTGTTTGATTAGTTGGTGAGCGAGTTAGTAAGATACCTGCTCCTTCATCTGTTCTCCCTTTTCTCAGGGCTTCTCTGTGAGGCAGCGTGGACGCACACGTGTTTCTTTGCATCATTCTCCCCCCGCACGTATCTCCGTGTATTTGTTGTCGTACTTCACACACGAATGAGCGATGCTTTGCACCCCCTCCCCAACTTGCACCAGACCAAATTCTAGCTTTTTGCAAGGTAGTGAAAGTGGCATAACAGATCTGTCTAATCAGTCTTGCCCAGTGGCCATGTTATCCTATATGCTCGGCAAGAAAGGAGCTTAAAGCCAGGGTGAGAAAGAGATTCCTCTCTAAAGATCAGCTAAGAGTCGGGTGGGATTTCAGCCATGCGACTCTGACATTCAAGCAGGGCACACGGGCACCCCCCTTCCCTCTCCTGCTCTGCAGCGTGAGCTGGGAGGGACCGCAGGGGGCTGGGACAGGGGAGCCAGCTGAAGCAGGAAGCATTCAAATGTATTTCATTTCAGGGTGACCTTTAACAGGTGT